CCCCAAAACCCCAAAACCCCAAAACCCCAAAACCCCTGAGCCTTGTTGATTCATTGAATTACATCTTCTAGGTTTATAAGTTTTATGGTCTCTTATTATTAGGCAAAATAATGTAATGGGAATTTGATCGCTTAGAAAGAAGAATCTGTTGGACTCAACCTGGACTCAATGGCATTTCTGCTGAGCTCATTATTGAATGAAAAGGAAGTACCTTCTTTTATTAGGGACGAGGTGCTTTTGAAGTTATCCATATCAGTAGTATCTAATAAAAGATTATAACCTAGAGAATAAATACACAAAAACATGAATATTTACAAATGAAAATAAATGTTCCTCTTCTTCATAAAAACAAAGCAAATAAACTCCTTAAATTTTTAAGACTTCCTCATAGCAAAAACTGTACGCTCCCGTTAAAATTCATAATTTTTCAATTTCTTCAACCGCAAAATACTCCTTAAGCCTTCTAAACCCCCAATGGCTTTCATCTAACCCCAAAAATCCTGGCTCTTGTTGAGCTTCTCCTAGTCTTCCATTTAGCAGCTCAAGACTAGTTTTAGCCCAAATTTTGACCTAAATTACCAATTTGAGACGACTTCTTGTTCAGCAGAAGGTTCAGGCTGGACTCCTTGTTCTGGCGACAATGGTGCAAAATGGTCTTCATACCCAGCATCAGAGTTATCATTGGGACGAAATCAGTCAGAGTGAAGTACAAGACGATGTAAGCTGGCCACCAAATCGTGTTGTTCTTTAAAGAGTTACTGGCAATCTTGTCTACAGGCAATATATATCTTGATATGTTGTTAATCCCTCTTACTAACAAGGGGATAGATACGAATAAAATCGAACAGATTACTCTCTTTTTGATTTTTTGTGACATTTTTGGAGAAAATAGATTAAGTTTTAGATAGTAGTATCTCACAGCCCAAGCGTATCAGATTGATGTTGAGATGAAGTAAAATGTCACCACCAGTCTAAAGATACTGTAAATCAGCTTTAAATTGTTCTCTTTCACGAATGAGAGGGTGATATTAACAATAATGATTATCAAGAGCATGCATTGACTGATGATCAACCAAATATTTGTTCATTTCTTTCTAAACCTATTCGTCGCATTAAAGTATTCATTTATCTGTCTGCTCTGGTAGATCCAACTGAACGTGCTGAAAATAACTGCTGATATAAACACCAGCACTGGTAGATAAGTGAAGATTCCCACAAAGGTTTTACTGCCTATTGATTTTCAATGCCTATACCAAATTTTGTGACCAAATAACCTAACCAAGACTGGTTCTAAAAGTTCTAATCTAAGGTAACCAAAAGAGCCCATTTATAGCTGAACAAAACCTGGGATGCTTACCTAGTCTTGAGATATATCTCTGTTGAGAAGTAGCAGATGCGGAGAGATATGGCCAAATTGATCATTAAGAGGAACATCAGAATACAAAAATAGTTCATTCTGTCTGTGTATATTCCGTGAAATGGCATTATTTTGATGAATTGGCAGGAGTAGTATACGAATATTAGGAATAAGCATCACAGGATTCAGAGTAGGATTATTACTGCACCTATGTATTTGTCTCAGACATTCCAATCGTTGCTGGATGAAGGAAGGGAAGGTAAGACATCCATCTTTAGTTTTTTATATAGTTATTTGTTTTAAAATTATTAATTTCAGTGATCTTAGTAATCTTTGGGGTTTTGGGGTTTTGGGGTTTTGGGGTTTTGGGG